TACTATTCGTCATTTAACGTTAGTTCGTTTATTTTATAATGTACTTGTTGAGGCCATACGTATATCTTGAATGAAAAGTCAAATTTCTTATGGAAATCAAATGCATATTAAAATTTCTTTCAATTGGACATTCCAGATTTTTGCATCTAGTCTATTCATTATTCTATTCATTATAAGTCATGTATAACTATTTTTTGTTTAGATTTTTTAGAATGAATGATTGAATTAGAGATGTTTTTTGAAGGTACTGGCACAAACAAGGTGTGTCACATTGTCTCTTTTTCAAAATATAATTTCAATTGATTATATCTAATTAAACATATTAAGCTTCCGATATCCGGAGCGTTAATCATATTTTGGACAAACAATTCACTTCTGATCGTCCGAAGATTAATCAGCCCAATGGACTTTAATATGTTGGTGGTGTTGGTAGTTTTAACTCAGGATCACGGCAGTAAAAAGAATCTGCAAAACCTGTGATCAATCACAACAAAATTACATGAAAATTGAACTTCAGTACATGCAAGAGCAGACGTACAGTGAGAATGACCGTAGAAAAGATGCAATGGTCAATCACAACGAAATTGACATGCACCGCCCGGGAATTGAACCCGATTCACAGCCCAACGCTTTATTTTATTAAAACTAACCGGGAAACCCCTAAAAGGGGGTTTTTTAAAAAGATTTTATAATCTTTTACTACAAAGTTTTTTCCGGGTTTTCCGGAATACAAATTGGGGTTTTTAAAAGTTTTATAAAAAAAGCCATCGCACGAAAAAAGCCTTTCCAAAAAAGCAACAAAAACTGGGTTTATTTATTTGGCCAATTTTGTGTTTTGAAAAAATTTAAAAGAAAATATAAAAAAAAGCATTTTAAAAAAAAAAGTTCATAGCATATTTTTTTTTAAATTTTAAATTTTTAAAATTTCCTGACGCCAAAAATTTTATTTTTGTCGCGAATCTTAATGGGGGTCAGGTAAAAAGACACTACACTCTTTTGCCTTTTATGTTTCAAATTTAATTTTTAAAAACTGATAATATCAAGAAGTCCATTCTATTCATTTATGTCGTTTTTTTTTTCATAAAAAGGCTTTACTTGATTTAGGACATTTAGCACAAATGCTCCACAACATGCTCCATTTGATCCTTTAGAACTAAGAACGCCATTACAACAAATATAGAAGGTCGGATTATACGGCGTTGTTCCACAACATGCTCCATTTGATCCTTTAGAACTTAGGACGCCATTACAACAAATATAGAAGGTCGGATTACACGGCGTTGTTCCACAACATGCTCCATTTGGTCCTTTAGAACTTAGGACGCCATTACAACAAATATGGAATGTAGAATTATACGGCAGTGTTCCACAACACGCTCAATTTAATCCTTTAGAACTTAGGACGCCATTACAACAAATATGGAATGTAGGATTATACGTCCTTGTCCCGCAACATGCTGCATTTGATCCTTTAGAACTAAGAACGCCATTACAACAAATATAGAAGGTCGGATTATACGGCGTTGTTCCACAACATGCTCCATTTGATCCTTTAGAACTAAGGACGCCATTACAACAAATATAGAAGGTCGGATTACACGGCGTTGTTCCACAACATGCTCCATTTGATCCTTTTGAAATGAGGACACCATTACAACAAATCTGAAAGGTAGGATTATACGGTGTTGTAGAACTTAAGACGCCATTACAACAAATCTGGAAGGTAGAATTATACGGTGTTGTTCCACAACATGCTTCATTTCATCCTTTAAGAACTAAGGACGTCATTTCAACAGATCTGGAAGGTAGAATTATACGGTGTTGTTCCACAACATGCTTCATTTGATCCTTTAGAACTGATAACCCCGTTGCAACCAATCTGGAAGGTAGAATTATACGGTGTTGTTCCACAACATGATCCGTTTGATCCTTTAGAACTTAGGACGTCATTACAACAAATCTGGAAGGTAGAATTATACGGTGTTGGTCCACAACATGCTTCATTTGATCCTTTAGAACTGATAACCCCGTTGCAACAAATCTGGAAGGTAGGGTTGTAACTACCTTGACCGCATGCAGCTAAAATCAATTTTAAGAATGACAGTTTTAAATTTAGAATTGTTTCTATTTGTCCTCAGATCTCATAGCTTTCCGTTTATATCGTTTACATTCTTTATGATACTGTATATTGTTTGAGAAAAAGGTTGTTACGGCAATTTTGTCTTAACTTGCACTTGTTAATTCAGATCTCTCTATTTAATAGACAACTTCCCCGCCCCTTCTTCTCATCTACCGCCTCCATCTCCGCCGAATAATAAACATGTACAAACAACAACATAAACAGAAATCACACACGCACACAGAAACACACGCACGCACGCTTAACACATACACAACATACACACACACCAACACACGCACGCACACGCACGCACGCACACATACACACACAAAATACAAATAACATAACAATAGCGATCAGTGATCACATACATCGCATGACTGTTGCTGCTACTATGTAACAGGAGACATAAAAATCATTAACAGGCAAAACGCATACTTTACTTATCAATCAGCCAAAAACCAGTCGTGTAAAATGCACACGAGCTACCAATCAATCCTGTAAAGTTTCATTGAAATAGCATAAGTGGTATAAAAGGAGTACTCCGGACAATCTTTAAAAATAGAAATAATAAAAGGGTCATAACTGAAAAAATAATTAAACCAAAGACATGCACAACTAAACTTGGTATTAATCATTCCTGAAAAGTTTGGACATAATTGCACCAGTAGTGTTTGAGAAGTAGTCCAGGCAAGCTTCTATGTAGCTGGCAACACACAGAAATATTTTGCTACCAATCAATTCTGTAAAGTTTTATTGAAATTGCATTAGTAGTATAAGAGAAGTAATCTGGATAAACATTAAAATAAAAACATTAAAGAGCCATAACTCAATAACAAATAAAAGAATAAACCGGAAATGCCGATGATATGCACAACTAGACAGTGTAATGATCATGCCTGTAAAGATGAAATTCCCCGTGTAGAAGCTGGCAACACGAAAAACACAATTTCTTTTAAAGTGATAACTGGGCTAAAAATCACATGTAATATGCACATGTACTTGAGCTACTGATCAATCTTGTGACGTTTCATTGAAATTGCATTAATGGTATGTGGAGTTGTCCGGACAAAAATCATTAAAGGGTCATAACTCTTACAAACAAATAGTTGAACCAGAAATTCACGACGATATATGCAACTAAACTTAGTACAGATGATTTCTATATCGTTTTGATGAAATTACACCAGTAACTTTTTGAGGAGTAGTCCAAACAAGTGTTGTGACAAGCGGACAAACAGAGAGAGAAATAAAAGCATTATTGACGCATAATTAACGTTTAGTAAAACATAAGAAATTACCTGTGTCCGATTTTCCAAAACAACTGAGTAGAAGGACAAATGATGATTTAATTTTAATGATAAGGTGTGGTCTTAATATATGTGCCTTACTTATTATTTAAAGCAATAATACTTGAAATATTACAAACGACAGAGCGTGGCTTGGTAGGCCACGATATGGAGGCGTGCTCCTAAAATTATTTATAAGGTGCGTTTTGGCATATATTTTGTCTAGCAGATATTTACAGGGAATTGTTAGATAATTAAATGATTTGTCTTTTCCAATGAAAAAGCATTGGCCGCAATCTACATGCCCTATCGAAAGCTACGTCCATTCACGATAGTATGCCTGTTTTGTAATAGGGTAAGTATGTTTACATTTTACATTACCTCTTATGAAACGGACGCCGAAAATTTCCATATTATATTATGCAATATCTCTTACAAAGTTAGCATGGCAATCTACAATTTCTTTTGATTTTAAATATAACTTAACACTCTTTTCAGAGATGATCACGTATGATTTAGTTTGATATAATTCATCTACAGCTTTTTATGAAGCTAATTTAAAAGGTATTTGAAACTTTCAATGCAGGTTTATTTAAATATTATCGGCACGTCAATTTTAATTATGTAATTTCTTGTGATATGCTTTCATTAATTTCCATTGCTTCATCTTTCGAGATCTTGTTATTTGATATGAGTAAATTTGATGTTGACGATACATTTTTTTGCTTTTGGTAATTACATAGGTGGTCCATGGCCATGTGGTTAGGGCCGTTGACTTTAAACCACTTGACCTTCACCGCTGTAGATCCAATATCCGCCAGGGACATTGGATTTTTTTTTCATGCTAGGAAGCTCTCGGGATAGCTTAAGATATAATATAGAATTATGAAAGCAATTTATAGAACTGTTTAGCCTGTCATAGTTTTAGCAATATTGATGTTGTCAAACAGATATGAAACTCGTGTACATTTAGTGTATCGGATAATTTGACTTACCTACCAAGCATCGCTAAATTAATCTTTCCGAATATGTTTGCAACACTGCAAACACCCGAGGCCTTAACCGACCACTATATATATAATTAAAACCAGGATTAGTTCCATGAATTAAACTCTTTTACATTATATAATCGTATCCAATTAAGCCAGTATTATCTTATATCCATAAAATGCAACCATTCCTATTGTAACGGACTCATATCGTTTGCGAAAGTTCGAGACAGCACTGCCCGGTTTGGGCTAATTTCTGGAATTGAAGGCATCGGCTTAAAGATGGAAATGCCTTAATTCTGATACTAAAAATACTTGTACCGCGGCACATACGTATTTGTTGTCAGTTCTAAACTCAGAACTTGAAATTTAAATAAAATCGTTTTTCAACGATCAAGTAATACTTTAACAACAATATACCTAGGTAATGCAAATAGATTAACACATTTCAGAGTTCTAAGTCATTACAATAAAATAAAATTTTCTTATAGGGTTAATAATCTTGCAAAATGGAACACTGTAAGATGTACGTGTATATGTTCCTAAAAAAACCTGTCGTGTTTCTGTAAGTGAACTCAATTCATAAAACCAACATCTACGCAGTCGGTAAGCAATTATATTTATAAATAATTGACAAATATGCAAAAATATATTAATATTATTCACATTATATCATTTGCACACATCAATGATCATATACTATATTAGACACTAATTTATAGACATCATAAATTGAGGGTACCTGATAAGTTCAGATATTAAAATTTATATCTCCGTAAAATCTTGACAAAATGTGTAGAAAACTCGTACGTTCTTATGTAAAATAAACTATTCAATTTAAAATGTAATAAGATCTAAATGTAGTGTAAAATATCTTATGGGATGAACTATGGTTAAACAGAACTTAATTATCATAGCTGGAAAGTTAAAATAAAATGACCTATGAAAATTCTTATATTCAGTTCCTGCAAAGTCAAACTTATTTGAGACGTCATTCGGCCGGAAAAGTAATATAATTATTTGATTTACTTATATTGTCATTTTTATATACATATGCACCAACATTTTATCATAGTACCAAAATGTAAAAAGATCTTTAGAATAATGAGAGATTTTTGATCATATCTATTAAAGTATATGATATATTGTAAACGACTTCAAAATTGGCGGTCAAGTAATTATTTCTATGTGAAAAGCCTCTTTATCCTTATAGAATATGGTTAATCGGCTACCTAGTCTTACATGATTTTGAATAAGATGCATGATTAACTGAGAAATGACACGATTTATTGTTCGAGTCGTCGATAAAATCACAAGTACATGTACATAAAAAAACATTAACATACATCAGCATTACACTTCATGACCAATTTTCAATTTCTGGTTTTGTAGCAAAAATTTTTTTACATATTCTTCAAATGGAAAGACAATGTTTTCTTATCTCGTATATAACAAATAGTGAACTGTGCAACTGTCTGTAGTTTACAGAGATTTTATATAGTGGAACTAGGCAAAATTAAATCATGTGTAAACCTGTTATCTTCACCTAAAGGAGAACCGGTTTCAAATTTGGACAAAACGCATCGGTGTAAGAACTATTGCATTTCACTGTCATAAAAAATCTGAATTTTTCAACATATCCATTAGTTGACTTTTAGAAACCAGGAAACAAGATCGTTTTGAAGAAATTTATCTTTTAAAGTTTTAAAAGATCCTTGAAGATCGTTCAGCACGACATTATTGTTGTGCTTGTGGTATTTTTAGTTTCAACTTTTTGGCATTTTCTAGTTGGGTGGTTCCAATATTCCTTCTTGAATAATGTTGAATCACCCTAAGGATATGTTGCCTGCTTTTTAAATTTGTCTTTTGACGCCTTATCTGTGATACGCAGGCTTCATAACCTCAGATCCCCTTTCAAAATTCAATTTTATTTAGTTCCGCCCATTGTTTTCTCGTTTAGGGCACACGCATTTTTTTACTTGGGGACCATATGCCGCTTTTCATGGAATGGCACTAACATGTCACATTGAAGGTTCCATGATAACCGCCATATGAACACATCTGCGGATGTTTCAAAATTCTAAATTTCACCAGTTCATGTTAAATGTTGAATTCTGCTTAAGCCGGTGCTAGGGGGCGTGGACGGTAACTTGCACTTGACAGTACCGTCCATGAACAGGCTCAATCAAACCGAGCCTGCAACATTTTCAATTTTGCCGTGTTGGGCTTTCTTTAGGGATTCTGTATTTATCTATTTTATGATCACATCCGTGTTATTTGTGCCGTGTGGCGGCTGTAAAAAGTCTCCCCGTACATTTAATCAATGATGTTATATTTTCGATCCTTGAAGATCGTTCAGCACGACATTATTGTTGTGCTTGTGGTATTTTTAGTTTCAACTTTTTGGCATTTTCTAGTTGGGTGGTTCCAATATTCCTTCTTGAATAATGTTGAATCACCCTAAGGATATGTTGCCTGCTTTTTAAATTTGTCTTTTGACGCCTTATCTGTGATACGCAGGCTTCATAACCTCAGATCCCCTTTCAAAATTCAATTTTATTTAGTTCCGCCCATTGTTTTCTCGTTTAGGGCACACGCATTTTTTTACTTGGGGACCATATGCCGCTTTTCATGGAATGGCACTAACATGTCACATTGAAGGTTCCATGATAACCGCCATATGAACACATCTGCGGATGTTTCAAAAATTCTAAATTTCACCAGTTCATGTTAAATGTTGAATTCTGCTTAAGCCGGTGCTAGGGGGCGTGGACGGTAACTTGCACTTCCATGAACAGGCTCAATCAAACCGAGCCTGCAACATTTTCAATTTTGCCGTGTTGGGCTTTCTTTAGGGATTCTGTATTTATCTATTCTTTTATTTTTCTTTAAGATGATTTGGATAGTGTTGTGTGACATTGTTCTGGAATAGCCGCATTTCGTATAGTAAAGCTCTTGTGCTGTGTTATTTGATTAAATTTTGGTAACGGGTCTGAAGCCTTTAATGTCTTATATAATACGTTTATGCTCAAATATGATGTTTTAACGTTGGTTATTCGCTCTTTAAAAGTGTGTATATTTTATTATTTTATCGTTTCATCGGGATATAATTAATTAATGTGCAAGGCATTATGATAAACCATTACGGGCAACACTGTCTATATATAAATAAATCACATGGTGTTGGATTCCTGGCACATTAAGACATTGACTGAAGCGTGACGATATTGACTTAATAAACATATTAAGCTTCCGATAACCGGAGCGTAAATCATATTTTGGACAAACAATTCACTTCCGACTGTCCGGAGATGAATCAGCCAAAATAATAAATCAAATAATAGTGGTGTTGGTAGATTTCACTAAAGATCACAGCAAAAAAAATCTGGAAAATTTGTGATCCTTCAAACATGAAATTGCAAACTTGTAAGCCACTTTGAAATTACCATGGATAGCACAGTTGAGCAGCCGCATCGTTCTTGTGCAGGCTATTAGTACAAGATGCCTCCACATTTGCAAGGAACTGGAACTTCAGTACATGCATGAGCAGATGTACAGTGAGAATAACATTAGAAAAGATTTCATGTTCAATCACAACGAAAGTGACCTGCAACGCTCAGGAATCAAACCCCGGTCGTACGATTCACAGTCCAACGCTTTATACCAGTATGTTCAGCTAACCGGGTGACTCTAATGGGCTTTAAACAAAGATTTGGTAATCTTATACTACATGTATTTCCGATTATCCGGAATATATTGTTTTTAATGTTATAGTCAGCCATTTATTTTAAAGTTATCATGCTGCATTTTAAACCATGAAACCATATCCTTATTTCCTATTTATGCCACTAACTTAATGGGCTCAGGTTAAAAGAAACTTACACATATTTTGCTCATGTTGCATTGAGTTTAAAAACTGTTAATATCAAACAGTAAGAATAGTCCATTCATTGATGTCGGGTTTTTTTTCTCATTAAAATGCATTACTTGATATAGGACATTTAGCACAAATGTCCATCACAACACCTCGTAGAGTAAGGATTGTAAGACCTTGTTCCACAACATGCTGTATTCAATCCTCTAGAACTTCTTAGGACGCCGTTACAACAAATCTCAAATTTAGGACTATACGGCCTTGTTCCACAACATGCTGTCCTCGATCCTTTAGAACTGAGAACTCCGTCACATCAAATGTGGTAGGTAGGATTATACGTTCTTGTTCCACAACATGCTCTACTCAATCTTGTATTTCTGAGTACCCCGTTACAACAAATCTGAAATGTAGGATTATACGGCTGTGATTCACAACATGCTTCATTCGGTCCTTTAGAACTGAGGACGCCGTTACAGCAAATTTGAAATGTAGAATTATACGGCCTTGTTCCACAACATGCTCCATTTGATCCTCTAGAACTTAATACGTCACTACAACAAATCTGAAAATAGGATTATACAGTTTTGTTCCACAACATGCTCAATTTGATCCTTTAGAACTTATGACGCCATTACAACAAATATGAAATGAAGGATAATACAGTTTTGTTCCACAACATGCTTCATTTGATCCTTTATATCTTAGAACGTCATTACAACAAATCTGAAGTGTAGGATTATACAGCTTTGTTCCACAACATGCTCCATCCGAACCTTTAAAACTAACGACGCCATTACAACAAATATCGAAGGTAGAATTATACGGTGTTGTTCCACAACATGATCCATTTGATCCTTTAGAACTAAGGACCTCATTACAACAAATATGGCCTGTAGAATTATACGGTGTTGTTCCACAACATGATCCGTTTGATCCTTTAGAACTTAGAACGCCATTACAACAAATCTGGAAGGTAGAATTATACGGTGTTGTTCCACAACATGATCCGTTTGATCCTTTAAAACTAAGGACTTCATTACAACAAATCTGGAAGGTAGAATTATACGGTGTTGTTCCACAACATGCTTCATTTGATCCTTTAGAACTAAGGACGTCATTACAACAAATCTGGAAGGTAGAATTATACGGTGTTGTTCCGCAACATGCTTCATTTGATCCCTTAGAATTGATAACCCCGTTGCAACAACTCTGGAAGGTAGGGTCGTAACTTCGTTGTCCGCATGCAGCTAATATAATAAGAACAAAAATTAGTTTTAAGAATGACAGTTTTAAATTTAGAATTGTTTCTATTTGTTTTCAGATCTCATAGCTTCTCGTTTATACCGTTTACATTCTTTATGATACTGTATATTGTTTGAGAAAAGTTGTTACGGCAATTTTGTCTAAACTTGCAATTGTTAATTCAGATCTCTCTATTTAATAGACAACTTCCCCGCCCCTTTTTCTCATCTACCGCTTCCACCTCCGCCAAATAATATACATGTACAAATAACAACAGACACAAAAATCACGCACGAACACATAAATACACGCACGCACGCACACACACAACACACACACAAAATACAAATAACATAACAAGAGCGATCAGTGATCACATGCATTGCATGACAGTTGCAGCTAGCTTCTATGTAACATGAGACACAAAAATCATTAACAGGCAAAACGCGTACTTTCCTTAAAGGTCATCACTCAGCCGAAAACCAGTCGTGTAAAATGCACACGAGCTACCAATCAATCCTGTAAAGTTTCATGGAAATAGCATAAGTGGTATAAGGGGAGTACTCCTGACAATCTTTGAAAATAGAAATAGGGAAAATATAATTAAACCGAAGACATGCACAACTAGACTTGGTATTAATCATTCCTGAAAAGTTTGGACAAAATTGCACTAGTAGTGTTTGAGAAGTAGTCCAGGCAAGCTTCTGTGTAGCTGGCAACACACAGAAATATTTTGCTACCAATCAATCCTGTAAAGTTTTATTGAAATTGCATTAGTGGAATAAGAGAAGTAGACTGGATAAATATTAGAATAAAAACAGGAAAGAGCCTTAACTCAATAACAAATAAAAGAATAAACCAGAAATGCCGACGATTGCACAACTAGACATTGTAATGATCATGCCTGTAATGATGAAATTCCCCGTGTAGTAGCTGGCAACACGAAAAACACATTTTTTAAAGTCATAACTGTACCAAAATTGCCGATGATATGCACAACTAAACTTAGTACAGATAATTTCTATAATGTTTGGATTAAAATTCCCTGTAGCTTTTGAGGAGTGGACCAAACAAGCGTTGTGACAGACGGACAAACACAGAGAGAAATAAAAGCATTTTTGAGGCATAATGAGCCTTTAGTAAAAAAATAAGAAATATCCTGCGTCCGTGTTTCCAAAACAACTGAGTAGAAGGACAAATGATGAGGCCACAGCGACTATCATCGTGTATTCTTTACGTCTTTTCTTCAGTCTACAATAAACCATTTTTCTTTAAAGACACATTATACCTCAGAAACAAATAATAATTTCCTGCTTATAAAAAGGAAAATATGAATTTTATAAACTTTAAACGGTTGTCTAAAAGAAATGTATGATGTTTTTTTACCTGACAAAGTAGTGATTAATGTGAAATAATTGATCATGAACGAAGCATATTGTAAACAAAGTAGTGTTTTGACTTCTATACACAATACTCATTCACTAAAACAGTTATACTGTACTTATTACCAAACAGCAAAAGATAAAAATGGTGGTTCATGTAATTGGCCAGTAAGTTACTATTTGGATACTATAAAAGGACAACAAAATAAAAAATCTAGAAATAAAAATAAGAGTATTTCTGAGACACAATGGGCCTTTAAAAAGAATAATGACAAAACGCTTGGTTGCGAGTCATTTAAGAAGCACCACCGTAGCATATACGTTGTTTTTTGTTTTGTTTTTCTTAAAAAAAAGAAAATTCTCTAAAATTCTCCTCATATAAGTTTATTTTTGTTGTTATTATAATTAATATCATCATTATTATTATATGTTAACACTATTATTTTTAATATCATTATTATTATCATTATTATTATTATTATTATTATTATTATTATTATTATTGTACATTAACTTGAATTAAGTTATACATTTAAAATACTCACTTGAAATATCCTTACAAATATAATTCCGTCGTAGTTCAGTTCTTTACTTAAATACTTAAAAGTTACACTCTCTGCATACTAAATTTGTCGTTTATATTCAAATGAATTTAATGGACAAAAAACCAACCAATGAAAATATAAACTGGGAGTTAATATTTAGTAAATTGTAAAACAAACTCGTACATTTGAGTAAGAGATGTCTGGAGAAAGGCGAAAAGAAAATGTGAAACATAACAATTTTAATCGCTGCATGAAACGTTTTTAAAATTTTTGATTCAAGGGGAAAAAATACAGACTATTTATAGAAATAGCTTACAAATTACAAATAAATAAACATTTCGAACTTATTGCGCTTGTGTATTAGTGCTTTACCATAGTTATAATCTTTTTTTTTTCAATTCTGTTGTTAACAAGACATCCCTCCGGAAACCTAACTTCATTCGAATCACGCCTTTGCAAATAGTTCCAATGGACTGTACTTTCAACGAAAAAACTGTGCGTATGTGATTATCTGTCCAATTCACCAGTTTAATTTAATCATCCGAGAGGCATTATGTGTTCATTTTTGTTCTCAGTTATGTAGACAGACATCTATCTTTTCGGCATTTACGGTATCAGACTCGTATAAGTCGTTTAATTTTAAGTATACGGTGTGGTCTTAATATATGTGCCTTACTTATTATTTAAAGCAATATTACTTGAAATATTACAAACGACAGAGCGTGGCTTGGTAGGCCACGATATGGAGGCGTGCTCCTAAAATTATTTATAAGGTGCGTTTTGGCATATATTTTGTCTAGCAGATATTTACAGGGAATTGTTAGATAATTAAATGATTTGTCTTTTCCAATGAAATAGCATTGGCAACACCCTACATAACCTATCAAATGCTACGCCCATTCACGATAGTGTGCCTGTTTTGTAGTTAGTTACATGTTTACATAACTTCTTATGAAACAGACTCAATCTAACCTAGCCGGCAATTTCTATAATATATTAATGCAACATCTCTTACAAAGTTAGCATGGCAATCTACAATTTCGTTTGATTTGAAATATAACTTACTACTCTTTTCAGAGATGATCACGTATGATTTAGCTTGATATAATTCATCTACAGCTTTTTATGAAGCTAATTTAAAAGATATTTGAAACCTTTCAATGGAGGTTTATTTAAATATTCTCGGCACGTCAATTTTAATTATGTAATTTCTTGTGATATGCATTCATTAATTTTCATTGCTTCATCTTTCGAGATCTTGTTATTTGGTATGAGTAAATTTTATGCGTGGAAGCTCTCCGAATAGCTCAAAGTATAAAATAGAATTATGAATGCAATTTATAGAACTATTCAGCATAGCAACAAATGGCATTGGTTTTTTTTACAAGAATAATGATATAGTGATATAAATTTTGTCAAACAGATATGAAACTCCATTTAGCCGGATAATTTGACTTAACTTAAATATTGTTAAAACAAAGCACCGCTAAATTTATCTTTCCGAATATGTTTTTCCGACTATCGCAAAACTACAAACATCCGAGGCCTAAACCGACCACCATATATATAATTGCAACCAGGATTCGTTCCATGAATTAAACTCTGTTACATTATATCATCGTACCCAATTAAGCCAGTATTATTTTATATCCATAAAATGCAACCATTCCTATTGTAACGGACTCAAATCGTTTGCGAATGTTCGAGACGGCACTGCCTGGCTTGGACTAATATCTGGAATTTATGCCATCGGCTATAGGACGGAAATGCTACTAAAATACTTGTACCCTGGCACATACGTAATTGTTGCCAGTTCTAAAATTTGAATAAAATCGTTTTTCAACGATCAAGTTTTCTTGAAAGAAAGTTTATACTTGAACAACAATATACCTAGGTAATGCAAATAGATTAACAACTTTCAGAGGTTTAAGTTTTCCATAGTAATGTTAGCAAAGCTTGCATAACAATGACATAAACATTTCTTATAGGGTTAATAATCTTGCAAAATATAACATGTAAGATATCTGTGGTCCTAGACCTGTGAACATGGCGTGTTTCGTTAAGTGAACTCAATTTATAATCAAAGCACAGATGGCGCTGAATTTGTTTGGGTCTCAGAATGTCAGAAAGGTGAAGGTTGTTAGATTATAAACCAATTTGTTTTTGTATAGTGCCACCAATGCTTTCCAGTGTTTTAACTATAGTAAATTGGCTATAAGACTAATTGCAACACTGATGTTTAATTCAATGTTTATTTGACTTAAACAATTTAAAAAAAATGAGATGCCTTAACTTGGATTTGAACTTTAGACCTGTCGCTTCCTAAGCGAGCGTGCAAACCCCTCGGCCATAAGTTATATGTTAACGGCCTGAAGAAAACCATATCATTCTAATTTAAGGTTTGTAACCCTTATTCTTTCGAAGCTAACTGTTGTTTTAACACAGCTGTAAATAATCATGGAGCTTACTATAAGCATGTATATCTACAAAGAATAAAACAATATTAGAAACCTTCCACCATTCGGGAACTATTTTGCTTAAAATTAATGCGCCTGTCATATGACAATCCAATCTCCACGCAGTGATCTCCCCTTAATTCTTCGGCGATGATATGCACTAAACTTAGTACAGATAATTTCTGCCAAGGGAGGTAATCACTTTACGCAATGATCTCCCCGGAATTTTTAGGCGTTAGTGTACATATAAAGGGAAGTAATCGCTTCAAAAAAAAGCAGACTACTTTCGGCATTTGCAATTAACAGCATCAGGGTCTGAAATTTCGCTACCATTATTTGTTTGGTCTGACGATCCAAACAAATAAAAACCAACATCTATACAGTCGGTAAGCAATTATATTTATAAATACTTGATAAATATGCAAAAATATATGAAATTGTATCATAGTTTGGGGACCTTTCTGTTGAAAATGTGTCAGAGTTAAATCGTATACATATACATGCACAGTGCGTTAACTGGAGTGCGGGTATTAGTTACCCGCACTCCAGAGCATGCCCATTGATTGGCTCATTTTTGCTGGGGTTTACATATTGTGACGGCAGAGAAAGGGAAAGCGACAGAAATATCATATTCTGATGTTCGTTCATTGGTTCATTTTTGCCGGGGTTTCATATTGTGACAACAGGGAACGTGTTTTTATGTTTGACTATGATACAAAAGAGAAAGAACACCAAAACACTCGGTTATCTGATTAATACTCGGGGGCTACGCCCCATCGTACAAATCAGATAACCTCGTGTTTCGGTGCTCTTTCTATTACATAATTAACATTTTATCAGATGAACACACAAATAATCATATATTATATTAGATACTTATTAATAGACATCATAATCTGAGGTCCGGATATCATTCTCCATATTTGGACAAACATTATAACTCAGTAAAATCTGGAAAAAAATGTGTAAAAAACTTGGTAATTTCTTATGTAAAATAAGCTGTTCACTTTAAAATGTAATAATATCTCTCTCTAAAGGTAGCGTAAATATCTTGTGGGATGAAGTATGGTTAAACAGAACTTAAATATCGGAGCAAGTTAGCTGGAAAGTTAAAAAAAATGACCCGAAAATTCTTCTTATATTCAGTTCTTTCAAAGTGAAACTTATTTTCGGCGGTATTCGGCCAGGAAGAAATATAAACATCTTATTTACGTAAATTGTCAGACTCTTTTATACAAATGCAGCAAAATTTTATTGTTACACCAATATGTAAAATATTTTTAGAATTATGAGAGATTTTTATGATATCTAAGTATATGATATATTGTGAACGACTCAAAAATGGTGGTCAGGGGAGGTAATTATTTCTATGTGAAAAACATCTTTATCCTTATAAAATAGATTATGTTATATATGTCTTAAATGATTTTGACTAAGACGAATGATTTACTGCGGAATGACACGATTTATTTTGCGAGCCGTCAAAAAAGGAAGAAAAAAACACACACAAGTAAAAAACAATCACATACATCAGCTTTATACTTCATAACCAATTTTAAATTTTTATTATCATTTTCATCAAATGGTCTTATCTCCGTATACAAGTAGTGGACTGTGCAACTGTCTATAGTTTACTGAGATTTAATATAGTGAAAATAGGCTAAATTTAAATCATGCGTATACACTTTGTCTCCACCTAAAGGGGAACTGTTTTGCATTTGGACAAAACATCGGTGTAAGTACTGTTGCATTACCATGTCATAAAGCATCTGAATTTTCAAAATATCCATTTGTTGACTTTAAGAAACTAGGAAACAAGATCGTTTTGAAGAAATTTATCTATAAAATATTATTATGTTTCTTTTGAGATGATTTGGATAGCGTTGTACGAATGGCCGCATTTCGTATAGTAAAGCGAGATCACACACGTGCTGTGTTATTTTTATTAGATTTGGTAACGGGTCTTTAATGTTTATGCTCAAATATGATGTTTTATTGTTGGTCATTTGCTTTTTAAAAATCTATATATCGTCTAATCGGGACTTAATTAAATAATGTTCAAGGCATTGTGATAAACCATAACGAGCAACACTATATATAACGATATTGACTGAAGCGTAACGAGTACTTCTTGTACGGACGTAATGGTAACACTTCCCTTTTAATTACAACAATTGCGCAGATCTAATCATACCATTTTTTCGGCTCTTCTAATCTGAAACGTAGAATTATACGGCCGTGATCCACAACATGCTCCATTCAATCCTTTAGAACTTAGGACGCCATTACAACAAATAACAAACGTAGAATTATACGGCCGTGATACACAACATGCTCCATTCAATCCTTTAGAACTTAGGACGCCATTACAACAATTAACAAAGGTAGGAAAATACGGCCTTGTTCCACAACATGCTCTATTCGATCCTTTAGAACTTAGGACGCCAATACAACAAATAACATAGGTAGGAAAATACGGCCTTGTTTCACAACATGCTCTATTCGATCCTTTAAAACTGAGGGCGACGGAACAACAACTATAGAAGGAAATATTATAAGTCGTTTTTCACAACAAATCTGGAATGTAGGACTATACGGCCTTGTTACGCAACATGCACTATTTGATCCTTTTGAACTGATCACCTCGTTACAACAAATCTGGAAGGTAGGGTTGTAACTTCGTTGACCGCTTATATAATAAAATCAAAGATCTATTCTAAGAATGACAGTTTTAAATTTAAAATAAATAAATTGATAAAAAGTATTACTCATGAAGATTTATTATATATTACGTACAAAATTGATACTTTACACATTTATTCCCCAAACAAAAATGACATAAGTATATATACATTTGAAGTATATTTATCATCCTACTTTATTCACGTTATGGTACAAAATCATTTCGGCTGAATGATATTTATTTTTGGGCTTTCATTTCGTTATATTCAGGACAGTCAACTATTTGGAGATTTTGTTTTCAAAAATATTTTCAAAAACTGGGTGAGTATTCAACAGTCTTAAAATAAACCATTTCAATATTTTCTTCTTTTAATCATGTTTCTTTTGCCTGTTGTGTTATTTACATTAAATTCAAAGACGAAGTTGAAGTTTAAAATTGACCATTATCGTGGAGTATGATATGAACGGTGTCGATAGACAAAAGGAATATATGTGAAAATATTGAATTGGAATAAAAGATGATTTTGGGAGTAAGTGTGTGATTTTGTCAACGACAAATTAAAATTATGTGTTAAGATTGGCAACTATACAATTTCTTTAGATTTTAAGGCGTTTGGAGCTCCACACCCTGTGTTTTATTATACCGAACCAACATTTTTATATAATAAATCATTTTAAGATTGTAAATATTGTATATACGCCACTAACTTAATTAATGTGCTCCGGTAAATATAAACTTACACATATTTTGCTCATGTTACAATGAATTTTAAAACTGATAATATCAAGCAGTAAGAATAGTCCCTTCATTTCTGTCAATTTTGCATAAAAAGGCTTTACTTGTTATAAGACATTTAGCACAATTGTCCATAACAACACCTCTTAAAGGTAGGATTGTAAGGTCTTGTTCCACAGCATGCTGTATTTGATCCTTTAGAACAGATAACCCCATTACAACAAATCTTGAATGTAGGATTATACGATTTTGCTCCACAACATGCTCCATTCGAACCTTTAGAACTTATAACCCCGTTACAGCAAATCTGGAATGTAGGATTATACGTTTTTGCCCCACAACATGCTCCATTCGATCCTCTAGAACTGATAACCCCGTTACAGCAAATCTGGAATGTAGGATTATACGCTCTTGTACGACAGCATGCTCCACTCGATCCTCTAGAACTGATAACCCCGTTACAGCAAATCTGGAATGTAGGACTGTACGCTCTTGTTACACAACATGCTCTATTCGATCCTCTAGAACTGATAACCCCGTTACAGCAAATCTGGAATGTAGGATTATACGTTCTTGTACCACAGCATGCTCCATTCGATCCTCTAGAACTGATAACCCCGTTACAGCAAATCTGGAATGCAGCATTGTACGATCTTGTCCCACAACATGCACTATTCAATCCTTTAGAACTAAGGACGCCATTACAACAACTCTGGATTGTAGGATTATACGCTCTTGTTCCACAACATGCTCTATTTGATCCTCTAGAACTAATAACCCCTTTACAACAAATCTGGAATGTAGGATTGTACGATCTTGTCCCACAACATGCACTATTCGGTCCTTTAGAACTAAGGACGCCATTACAACAACTCTCGATTGTAGGATTATACGCTCTTGTTCCACAACATGCTCTATTCGATCCTCTAGAACTGATAACCCCGTTACAACAAATCTGGAATGTAGGATTGTACGATCTTGTCCCACAACATGCACTATTCGGTCCTTTAGAACTAAGGACGCCATTACAACAACTCTCGATTGTAGGATTATATGCTCTTGTTCCACAACATGCTCTATTCGATCCTCCAGAACTGATAACCCCGTTACAGCAAATTTGAAATGTAGGATTGTACGCTCTTGTTCCACAACATGCTCTATTCGATCCTCTAGAACTGATAACCCCGTTACAGCAAATCTGGAATGTAGGATTATACGCTCTTGTACGACAGCATGCTCCATTCGATCCTCTAGAACTGATAATCCCGTTACAGCAAATCTGGAATGTAGGACTGTACGCTCTTGTTACACAACATGCTCTATCCGATCCTCTAGAACTGATAACCCCGTTACAACACATCTGGAATGTGGGATTATAAGTTCTTGTCCCACAACATGCTCCATTCGATCATCTAGAACTGATAACCCCGTTACAGCAAATCTGGAATGCAGCATTGTACGATCTTGTCCCACAACATGCACTATTCGATCCTTTAGAACTAAGGACGCCATTACAACAACTCTGGATTGTAGGATTATACGCTTTTGTTCCACAACATGCTGTATTCGATCCTCTAGAACGGATAACCCTATTACAACAAATTTGAAATGTAGGATTATACGCTCTTGTTCCACAACATGCTGTATTCGATCCTCTAGAACGGATCACCCCGTTACAACAAATTTGAAATGTAGGACTGTACGCTCTTGTTCCACAACATGCTCTATTCGATCCTCTAGAAGTAAGGACGCCATTACAACAAATATGATATGTAGGGTTGTAGCTTCGTTGACCGCATGTTGCTAATAAAATAATTTAAAACAAAGATTCATTTTGATAATGACAATTTTAAATTTAGAATCTTTACTTATCCTAGGATCTCATAGCTTTCCGTTTGAAATTGCATAAGGACTTTATGATACTGCACATCGTTTCAGAGATGTTGATACTTTACTAAACTCTTAACTAGAAATACAGATATCACCTTTTAAAAGAAAGCTTCGAAGCCCTCTCTCGCACTTCCTTCCTCCCTTCCTCCTGTCTCCCCCAAGAAAAAGGGAATGTTAAACACGGAAAAATACGATTAAAATTATGTTGAATGTTTCAGACATTCAGTTCGTTTTTTAAATTTTAAACAGGGAAGCATGTATATGTTCAAAACGTTTTATGTTAAAAGAACATTTTGAAAGATATTTTTCTTTTTTTATCATTTTTGTTTTAGGCTTTACTTACAAAATATTATCGCTGAAATGCAAAATTTTAGGATGTTTTTTCCATTTTGTGTCAGCAGGGTCTTTCAAATAGACCCTGGTGTCAGATATAAACATCTAAATACACAAATAAGAGTGTGCTTAATTGTACTTCAACCATTCCCCACCAATCAAGTAGTTACGTAATTGATCTATTTTAACATACGTATGTACGCAATCGAGTCTCTTCTTATTAGACAAAAGACAAACTTTGCTTTCCTAATCAGAATTGATGAAATAAGAAATTACCTGCGTCCGATATTTCAAAACGTCTGAGTAGAAGGAGAAATAATGCGGTAACAGCTATTATCATCGTGTAAATTCTACCTGTCTGTTGTTCCATCTACAATAAATGAGCCGCGTCACGACAAAACAAACACAGTGCGTTTGCGACCAGCATGAATCCAGACCAGCATGCGCATCCGCTGTTCGATTACCAACTCTATTACAAGTAGAGAAACTGATAGCGAACAGCATGGATCCTGATCAGACTTTGCGGATGCGCAAATTGGTCTGGATCCATGCTGGTCGCAAACGCATTACGTTGGTTTTGTCATGGTGCGGCTCAAATCATTTCTCGTTTAAGGCACATTATGGAACAACAAGGGCAAACATGACATTTTTAATCTTAAAATGGTGGGTTTAGAAAAATGCAAAATGTATGTTACCTACAAAAGTAATGATTAATGTGAAATAATTCGTCATAAAAGAAGCATATTGTAATCAAATTAATACTTTGACATCCATACAAAATACTTATTTACTATACATGTACTCTCTACCAAAAAGCAACAGCTGAAAAAAGATAATTTGCCAATGAGTAGTTTAGGATATTATAAAGGTACACCAAAATTAAAAAGCTTTAATTTGAAAAATAAAATAAAACATTGTTGAGTTATAATTGGCCTTTAAACAGTATAATGTTAAATCGCTCGGCTGCGTGTAATTTTAGAAGCACCACCGTAGCTTGTAATTAAAAATGAAAAGATTTCTAAAATTTTATGTTTGCTATAAGTTAATTATTAATGATACCATGATTTATAAACATTCTTATTTTTGTTATTGTTATAATTACTACTCAGGTGCCCGTTTGAGCCTGAAATGATGTACAGAGGAGCACCTGAGGTCTTCCTCCATCAGTAACCATAATGACATATCTTGTGTTGGTGCGACGTTAAAGCATTATTATTATTATTATTATTATTATTATTATTATACTTACTTAAAATATCCTTATAAAATAATATAATTCTTTTTCGTAGTTCAGTTCTTTACTGAAATACTTAAGATTTGCCCTCTATGTACATCTTTCATCAATATGTAAGCCTTCACTTCTATTCAGGTGAATTTATTGGCCGAATATCAACCAATGAAAATATAAATTTGGTCTATAGTGATTATTTTCTCTTCCTGATCGTTGTTTTTGTCTTTGTTGCTGTTGTTGCTTTTCGTTTATTAATAATTATATCGATTAGAAATTGATGAAAAAGAGATCAATTTATATTTTGTACCTTTTGGTACTTTACCACATTTTTTTTTTATATCATTAACAGTGTTTAGATCTGTATAGGGATAAAATCTGACGCCAGTCCGTCGCCAGTTTAATCATTTTTCTTTGAAGTTAAATGTAAAACAAAAAAACGAGTATTTTAGTGAGGGCGTTGCGTTCTGGAGATAGGTGAAAAGAAATGTGAAACGTAACCATTTTAATCACTGCATGACACGATTCTAGTTATTAAATATATTTGATTACAGAAAATACATTAAATTCTAGATAGTTTTTTTTAAAAGAAATAACTTACAAATAAATACACATTTCAAACTTAATGGGCGTGCACATTAGTGCTATACCATAGTAATAGCCATTTTGTCGAAATCGTGCCGTTCACTATGTTGTTGTTTACAAGACATCCTGCCGGAAACCAATCATCATCCAAATCAGCATACGCATTTGCAAATATATACAACTCAAAATTTGCTAAGGATCACCTTTTTGACATTGCATATTTCAGTCCTATTATTATCATCATAAATCATTAAAATCATATTTCCTCTAACGATACACCTGCACCTGGACCTCATAATCGTGTACTAAAGTTATCTTGATAAATTGATACTTTGAATCATTGGGGAAAAACGGAATTTCAAAACATTAAACGGAAATTTTAGTGGCATGTCATACAGACCAGAACATTTTTAACAGAACATATATTTTATTTTGAATTTAATATATACAGCTCATATTTATATACAACAATATATGCATGCATACATATGAAAATGGTTAATCATTACAATAAATAGATTAGTGAGAGTGTAATACAACACATGTAATATGTACAATCATACTAACATAACTTTAAACATAATAACATGGTTTCTCTTATACATTATCTGGTATTCAATGAATGAAAGTTAATTTTAAATTCTTCATTATAATATACAGCTTATTTACTTTACACTGCCTTCCTTTCTAAATTCAGCAATTCTAAGAATTGAAGCATGCTAGGGATTCTTGAAAAATAGTTGTATATATACGGTTTCCTAAGACAATCCTATATACACAGTGTAAATCAATACAACGGATCACTTTGTCATTTCTATTTCATTGGGTGTGTTTAAATGTCACATTGACAGCTCTCTCAGTTTTACAACAACCTGGATAATTATAGAATTAACAAAGAGAAATATAACATTCATTATAAGGGGGCAATCCTGAGGTCTAGATATATGAAAATGTACATAGAACGAATCAAGTCCCTATGTATACGCACTGTCCATTTATGGCCCGTTGATCTTTTGATATATCAAGTCCAAGTGACCTTGACCTTTTGACCTGAAAATGTTTGTTGTAGGTAACACTCATCAAGATGTCTCCGAAAATGAAGTTTAATTGTTACAGGTTAATCAGTATTGGAATGAGTGACAAATCGTATACAAGTCTATATAAATCAAGTACTAACATTTATTTTTATTTTCACATCCAAGAATATGTTGAATATGTACTGCAAATATTAATTCGCATTATAGTAATCATTAAAATCTATGCATTCATTTCTCATTAAAAAATTTGGCTCAGGCTTTATGTAAAGAAAAATCTAATAACCTCCCTTTTTTTACATGAAATGTAAATTCGGTAATATCTTTGCAAATAATGCTTTATTGAAATCGCAAAATTGATAAATCTTCATTTGAGCATCGGATCTTTGATATAAAACCATAAGAATTGAGTTACGGGATCTTTAACAATTACCTCGACGTTTAACGAACGTATACATAATCATCATCTACTGAACGGTTCATTAAAAAAAATCAAAAGTCTTAAAATAATAAATAAAAATGACTTTTATCATACCGTAATATCCTTTGTGTTTAATGGCAATCTTACGTAATGTAACATTACCTCCAATAGTTTTTTTTAAAGAAACGTCTTTTTATAATACTTACCAATGCTTCTCATGAGAATAACTTAAAAACTATTGTAGTTATTTGACAAGGTTAGCTTTTAAAAAAGCTAGTAGCGACTCGCTTCGTAATTTTATCCCAGGGGTGTGTTTAAATGTAAAAATGACAGTTCTGTATCTGAAGAGACTTCAGCGAACATCAAAATAAAAGTGACATATAAAGTTACGGAAGCTAGTTCTCTCAGTTTAACAAAGAGGTATATGAGTATATATGAAGACGCATGTAAACAGATAGAATGAAGTCCCTATGTCTATGCACATTTACTATATGGCCTGTTGACCTTGACCAAAAAAATGTTGGATAGGTAGAATTCATAAAGATGTCTCTTTATACAAAGTTAAGTTGTAATGTGTTATTTAGTATTGGAATGAGTGACAGACACAAGTCCTATACAGGAATATATTACTGAAGAACTCTCTTGGGTGTGGGCGTATTTAGATTCATGGGGCATGATTATTTGATTTGTACAAGTTCTCAAGTCTCGTAAATCCCGGTCAAAATAGACCGGGAGAGACCGGAAGCGACCGGACCGGAGAATAGTATATCCCAGTAAATACATGTACATACACAAAATACCGGAAATGATAAAATTACCGGAAAAAAAGAAAAAGAAAATATGCACAGAACCAGATGTACACTTATGTTAATTAACCAATTAATTGTTAATTATTTAACTTACTACAGAGAAAACAGGTGAAATCGCTAAATCAAAAGTCTGTGTTAATATGATTTATTGAAAAGAATTCATGAAAACAAATATTTTATCATCATTATATCTTTGCGCTCAAAGCAATACTTGTTGCTTTTTAAAAATGGCGTGAAAATTGAAGGTTTTTTGACGCTATGTAAAATCAAATTTGATTGGCTTAATTATTTTGGATTCCAGCCCAGACAGATAAATTTTGTAGAAAGCTGGAAGCCAAGCTTAGATTAAATTTTTGGATGGATTCGGAGTTTTAGGTTGTTTCTAAGTAAAATCCTAACGTATTACCGGCTCGCCGTGGCGAGCCGGCATTAGAACTTCGCACAGTGATAGAGGCCAGTAAGAAGTGCAGTAGTAATTCCACGTAGCATAATTTTTAAATTGTAATACTTTATATAATTGTGCTTGTTACGCTTCTCCTTATGCAGCCCTTATTTGTAAAGACCGATACTTTTTTCATATTTTGCGGCTACATACCTTGAATGGTCTCCTTATATCGGATATAATAAGGATTGAAGACAGAATGTCACTTATTAAATGTCTCCTAATTCTGAAAGTGCACAATTGATCCAGAATTATGGCAGGTGCCATGTTCTTTTATATTTTAGCATATAATCTCTAACTGTGTGAAATTGTAATAACGAGTAGGAGTTATCACCTTATTAAAATGTTTATAAAAGGGAGATCATTCATAATACTATGTAGACTTTTAGTTCCAAAGACATTGAACTTTCTTGGACTAAGTCACTTTTACTTTTATATTTAGATAGTATTGTTACTTTATGTTTTCAAATAAACCGACCAATTTTTTTTTAACATCGATTATAGGCGGATTAAGTTTATAATATAAGGTATAGACATACAGTCGGACAAAATGGCGGACAAATCAGCAACTGTATTCTCCTTTTGGCAATATATAAGTCAGTCATCATTTCACAAGTCCTGTCGTCAAAAATTCTATGTTTTTTTATTTATTGAACACTTTACAGTAAACGATTAACAACAATGTATATTCCATCAAAATTTTTTTACAAATGATTAAATGGTCGTGTCAAAACTAATAACAAAGATTTGTGTGACCCTCTGCAAGTGGTCCGTTACATTAAATCTTGGATACTATAGTATCTATTATTCATGTACAGCTGTAAAGGAGAAGTGTTTTGAATTGTTTGATGATGGATCCAAATAATACAGAACGAACCATCAGCATTTCATTAAATCCATGTTTCAGATGGTTCATCCGCCCGTCAAGGCAAAAACAATCTGCTTGTCAGTACCGAATCCAGACATGTACTGTAAGGGTTAATATGAAATACAGTGATCATTTATTCATCTCCTAGTATTTATCACAGATATGAATTTTATGGCAAAAGTAAGTAGCTGCACAATGGATAATGATCACATAAACATAAAGTAACCTATAATAATGAAAATATTGAAAAGGTAACCCTGATAAAGTCTGTAAGTGCCATGCAGAGTACGGACCTTTTTTTATTGTTTTGTAAGCCGTTACCTCGAACTTAGTGTTCGTGGACCGTTGCAACCTTGCTTGTCGCTTCTTGACTTGAGTCATGGCACTGGCTGCTGCCCGGCAGGATTTAAGTTTCGGTCTTCTTCATTTGTCGCTGTCTCTAGTTCTATCTACCTTCTGCCTATGCCTTCTTCCTCTTAACAATATGGTCACTTTTCTCTTAATAGCTGTTGTTAATGGGTGTTTTAAAGTATGTCAAATGAACTTTATTTATAATTGAATAATAAAATCAAATGCATATAAAATACTCCAGATTTTTGCATTTAGTCCATTCATTAAAAGTCATGTAAGACATTTTTTTGTTTTTGTTAAAATGGATGATTGGATCTTCCATGATTAGAAATGCTTTTTGGGGTAACTAACAAGGTGGGGTCAATCTTGGCTTAGAAAACTCAAACGGCTCCATTTTGCGAGATTTCCTGCCAGGAATGAAAAATGAGCATAAAATACCAAGTTTAAATACTTATCTCATGGTTCTTCACCGGCTTAAGCAGAATTCAACAATTAAACATGAAATGGTAAAATTTGGAATTTAGAAACCATAATTTAAAAAAAATACCAGAGTACAGTCCAGGAACCGCATCGTTCCTGGGCAAGTTGTCAAGCAGTTTACCAGTACTAGTTGCCCCCGCTTTCGCAAGAAACTGAAACTTCTTTATATGCAAGAAAAGAGGTACAGTGCAAATGACCTTAGAAAAGATTTCATGATCAATCACAACGGAAGTGAAAGCACCATCATGGAAAGCGGGTCGCCCGATTCACAGTCCAACTTTCTTCCTATCAAGATAACCGGGCGGCTCTAATGAGCCATAAACATTCATTGTGTAATATTATACTATATGTATTTCCGATTATCCGGAATATATTGTATTTAATGTTTTATTCAGCCATTGGACGAAATGCTGCCAAGAGAAAACGCAACAGAAACAAAAGCTGGTTCGGTTATTTGGCCACTATGTCTTTTTGAAAACTAACAGGATATATAAGATACAAAAGCTTTGAAAAAAAGTACTTTATTTTTATACTTAATGTTTTCCATGCTGCATTTTAAACCATGAAATTATGTCCTTATTTCCTTTATATGTCACTTACTTAATGGGCGCAGGTAAAAATAACTTACACATATTTTGTTCATGTTGCATTGAGTTTAAAAACTCGTATGTCATAAAGAAGTCAGACAAGTACATTCACTTCTGTCGTTTATTGTTCATAAAATGGCTTTACTTGATATAGGACATTTAGCACAAATGTCCATTACAACACCTTTTAAATGTAGGATTGTAAGGCATTGATCCGCAGCAAGCTCTATTCGATCCTTTAGAACTGAGGACGCCGTTACAACAAATCTGAAATGTAGGATTATATGGCCTTGTTCCGCAACATGCTTTATTTGATCCTTTAGAACTGAGGACACCATTACAACAAATCTGAAATGTAGGATTATATGGCCTTGTTCCGCAACATGCTTTATTTGATCCTTTAGAACTGATGACACCATTACAACAAATCTGAAATGTAGGATTATATGGCCTTGTTCCGCAACATGCTTTATTCGATCCTTTAGAACTGAGGACGCCGTTACAACAAATCTGAAATGTAGGATTATACGGCCTTGTTCCGCAACATGCTTTATTTGATCCTTTAGAACTGATGACACCATTACAACAAATCTGGAATGTAGGATTATATGGCCTTGTTCCGCAACATGCTTTATTTGATCCTTTAGAACTGAGGACACCATTACAACAAATCTGAAATGTAGGATTATACGGCCTTGTTCCGCAACATGCTTTATTCGATCCTTTAGAACTGATGACACCATTACAACAAATCTGAAATGTAGGATTATACGGCCTTGTTCCGCAACATGCTTTATTCGATCCTTTAGAACTGATGACACCATTACAACAAATCTGAAATGTAGGATTATATGGCCTTGTTCCGCAACATGCTTTATTCGATCCTTTAGAACTGAGGACGCCGTTACAACAAATCTGAAATGTAGGATTATACGGCCTTGTTCCGCAACATGCTTTATTCGATCCTTTAGAACTGATGACACCATTACAACAAATCTGAAATGTAGGATTATATGGCCTTGTTCCGCAACATGCTTTATTCGATCCTTTAGAACTGAGGACGCCGTTACAACAAATCTGAAATGTAGGATTATACGGCCTTGTTCCGCAACATGCTTTATTTGATCCTTTAGAACTGATGACACCATTACAACAAATCTGAAATGTAGGATTATATGGCCTTGTTCCGCAACATGCTTTATTCGATCCTTTAGAACTGAGGACGCCGTTACAACAAATCTGAAATGTAGGATTATACGGCCTTGTTCCACAACATGCTTTATTCGATCCTTTAGAACTGAGGACGCCGTAACAACATATCTGAAATGTAGGATTATACGGCCTTGTTCCGCAGCAAGCTCTATTCGATCCTTTAGAACTGAGGACGCCGTTACAACAAATCTGGAATGTAGGATTATACGGCCTTGTTCCGCAACATGCTTTATTCGATCCTTTAGAACTGAGGACGCCGTTACAACAAATCTGAAATGTAGGATTATACGGCCTTGTTCCGCAACATGCTTTATTCGATCCTTTAGAACTGAGGACGCCGTTACAACAAATCTGGAATGTAGGATTATACGGCCTTGTTCCGCAGCAAGCTCTATTCGATCCTTTAGAACTGATAACCCCGTTGCAACAAATGTGGAAGATAGGGTTGTAACTCCGTTGACCACATGTGGCTAATAAAATAATTTAAAACAAAGATTCATTTTGAAAATGACAATTTTAAATTGAGAAGTTTTCTACTCGTCCTTGGATCTCATGGATTTCCGTTAAAATTGCATAAAGACTTTATGATACTGCATGTCGTTTCCGAGATGTTGTTACTTTGCTAAACTCTTAACTAGAAATTCAGATATCACTTTTTAAAAGAAAGGTTCGAAGCCCTCGCTCACACTTCCGTCCTCTCTTCCTCCTGTCTCCCCCAAGGAAAAGGGAATGTTAAACACGGAAAAATACGATTAAAATTATGTTGAATGTTTCAGACATTCAGTGTTTTGTTGTTGTTTTTTTTATTTCACCTCTTTTTGTAAACAGAGAAGCATGTATATGATCAAAACTTGTTATGCTAATTATAATTTTTGTGTCAGGCTTTACTATTACAAATCATTATCGTTGAAATGTAAACTTTAAGGTTCATTGTTTTTTCGTTCAATATATATTATACATGTACATTTGTATAAACATCTCGATACGCTATAAGAGTGTGCTAAATTCTACTACAACCCTTCCTCACCAATCAAGTAGTAATTACGTAATTGATCTATTTTAACATATGTACCAAATCGAGCTTCTTCTTTTTAGACAAAAGACAAACTTTGCTTTCCTAATCAGAATTGATGAAATAAGAAATTACCTGCGTTCGATATTTCAAAACAACTGAGTAGAAGGAAAACCGATGCAGTAACAGCGACTATCATCGTGTAAATCTACACGTCTGTCGTTCAATCTACAATAAATCTTTTCTCGTTTAAGGCACATTTTGGAGCAACAAAGGCAAACATGAACTTTTTAATGTTAAAATGGTAGGTTTAGAAACAAACTATAAAAAAGTGATTAATGTGGAAACATTCGTCATACAAGAAGCGTATTGTAATCAAAGTAGTACTTTGTAGTACTTCGACATCCATACAAAATACTTATTCTCTATAAATGTACTTACTACCAAAAAGCAACAGATGAAAAAAGATAATTTGCCTATGAGTAACGTTTAGGATACTATAAAAGTACACCAAAATTAAAAAGCTTTTTTATCATTATTTATATCATCATCATCATTATTATTTATTTATTATTATTATTATTATTATTATTATTATTATTATTATTTTTATTAAAATACTTACTTAAAATGTCCTTACAAAATAATATAATTCTTCCGTAGTTCAGTTCTTTACTGAAATACTTAAGATTTGCCCTCTATGTACATCTTTCGTCAATATTTAAGCCTTCACTTCTATTCAGTTGAATTTATTGGCCAAAATATCAACCTATGAAAATATAAATTGGGTGTTTAGTGATTATTTTCTCTTCCTGATCGTTGTTTTTGTTTTTGTTGCTGTTGTTGCTTTTCGTTTATTTATAATTATATAGATTAGAAATTGTTGAAATCATTCAGTATATCAGAGATCAATTTATATTTTGTACCTTTTTGTACATTAACCACAATTTTTTTCTGATATCATTAAACGATCTTTAGAGTGATAAAATCTGTCGCCAGTCCGTCGCAAGTTTAATCATTTTTCTTTGAAGTTAAATGTAAAACAAAATTAAAAAAAACCGAGTATTTTAGTGAGGACGTTGCGTTCTGGAGATAGGTGAACAGAAATGTGAAACGTAACCATTTTAATCACTGCATGACACGATTGTAGTCATTAAATATATTTGATTACAGAAAATACATTACAGACTAGATAGTTTTTTTTAAGAAATAACTTACAAATAAATAAACATTTCGAACTTAATGGGCGTGCACATTAGTGCTATACCATAGTTATAACCATTGTGTTTTCAAAATCATGCCGTTCACTATGTTGTTGTTTACAAGTAATCGTGCCGGAAACCAATCATCATCCAAAACAGCATACGCATTTGCAAATATATCAACTCAAAATTTGCTAAGGATCACCTTTTTGACATTGCATATTTCAGTCCTATTATCATCATAAATTATTAAAATCATATTTCCACTAACGATACACCTGTACCTGGACCTCATAATTGTGTACTTAAGTTTTCGATTTGTCATGTACACCTTGCACAATAAGAACGAGGAAAATCATACCCATGAAAATATGGTGTTTTATGGCCATGTGCTTTCACTTAAATTTGTACAAGCAGCAAGAGTTCTCTCGTTTCATCGTAAAACTGTAGTCAAAATTAAAAAATTATGGCAAATCGACAGGTTAGACGTCGTTTTAGTGAAGATGAGATGAACAGGGGTATTGGAATGTTGGAGGCTGGCCGTTCACAAAGGTACGTTGCCTATGTCCTTACGCGTTGTCTCCAGGATGTGGAACCGATTCTAAATGACTGAAAATGTCTTGCAGGGCCAGGTCGGGAACGTTCAACGACTCAAGCCCAGGACCGATTTATTGTCCTTCAGGCCAGGCGCCAACGGTTATCGAACGCTACGACATTACGTAACGACTTCCAGAATGCAACTGGTGTGCGTGTAAGCACACTAACTGTTAGAAACAGGTTGCGTGATGAGGTCACTAGACCAGCAGTTCGCATTCCTTTGACACAACGCCATATTCAAGAGCGTTTGCAATGGGCGCAGACTCATGTCCATGGACAGTTAATGATTGGATCCTGGTCCTCTTCACTGATGAGTCAATGTTTTGTGTGGACTTCACGGACAGATGGGTTAGGGTTTGGAGAAGTCCAAATGAACGCTAAGCTCCAGCATGCGTTGCAGAACACGACCGTTTTGGCGGGGGTTTTCAGCCATGGTGTTGGCGGGAATAAGCGCTCAGGGGAAAACGGACCTACACATCATTGAAAATTGTACACTGACGGCAGTAAGGTACGTCAATGAAATCTTAAACTTCCATTTACGCACTGACTGGCGCAGTCAGCCCTGATTTAATTTTTATTGGTGACAACGCCCGTGCACAAAGAACCCACATCACAAACAAATATCTTGAGGAGGCAATTATAGTCCGCATGGATTGGCCAGCGAGGTCCCCAGTTTTAAATCCAATTGAGCATGCTTGGGATATGCTAAAGAAAGCCATTTCTTTTTTTTTAATCAATTATGTGATCTCCAAAATGTTGATTTTGGTCCAGCACGCTCTTTCCGCAACAGGCACACGTCAAGGAACACTTCTATTGTCATTATTTCATAACATCAATTCCTAACTAATTATATTTAATTCCTTTCAATCAATTTTCACATTTATTACTCTATTATTTCACAAAAGTAACGTAGGAAAAAGAGATTCTTAGCAACTTTTGAGTAGTATAGTTCAAATAAACTGTACTTTATCGAATTACTGCACGTATGTGATTATCTGTTCAAGGGGCAATACATAGTTTTAAAAAAGGCTTCTCGGCAAACAACTGACAAAATCAAAACCGAACACACAAGTCTGTAATCGCACACCTGAAATAAATGCATTTCATAATCAACATATACATATACGAGGGCTGATTGATAAATAGTATTAAATACGCGGAAGGAATATTATCCTCTAAAAACCAAATTACTTTATTGAATTACAATAGAGGTAAACCAAAATGTTTGCAATTACATGTCAATATTGCCGAATATAATTTTATAAAAAAAAATTCCATCATTCTCCGTGTCCATAGCAACCATTGTCCTGCTGTATTTTAAAGTATACATAATATAGTATAAATATCACTGCGGGAAGAAAATTGAAGCAAATTTGGCGCTAACGCCTGTAACGTTAGCATGACGTCTTGACGTCATTTTCCTGTTAATTTATAGATGATGTGTTGAACGGTTGTTTCGTAGCAGCGTTAACCTCGATGTGTACCAAACGGCGAATTACGTCAACAGACGACATTGAATTACGCGCTGTGGGAATGAAAACTAAGTTTTGTGTGGGAATGAAACTTTCACCGAGCGAAACTCTTAAAAAGATAGAAAATCCTGAAACATTGCCTACTGGTGGAAAGAAATTTGTGTATAAATGACATGAGTTGTTTACAGAAGGAAGAACATCCGTGTATGATGACGAAAGAACTGGTCGGCTGACGTCTACAGTTACTGTTGGAAACACAGCCTTAGTAAAAGAACTGCTGGATGTTGACTGGCGCGTTACGGTGCGGGGCATACTTAGCTGAACAACTATCTCGTTCTTATTATACCGTGCAACGCATTCTTACAGAAGAGCTCAACATGTTGAAAGTTGCCGCTCGCTGGGTACCCCGCATTCTGACGGAAGTCGACAGACAGAAGTGCGTGCAGTGTTCTCGAAAATTTCTCAAGCGTTACGAAGCACATGGTGGACATTTTTTTTTAGACAGAATCGTGCCCACAGACAAGACATGGTTGTACTATTACAATCCCTAATCCAAACACCAGTCTTCTATTTGGAAGTCGCCTGACACAGCTCAACCCAAAAAGACTCGAGTTCAGCGAAGTGACAAGAAGGAAACGTATATATACTTCATTGATAGGCATGGGCTCTTGCTACAACACAAGGTGTGAGAGGGATCAAAGGGAAATGCGCAATATTATTCAAAGGTAAAATTTAAAAAAAAATATAACTGTTACTCTTTTGTTTTTTAAAATTTTTCTTTAAATACGTGTAGAGCTAGCCGGTTCTAGTATTTAATAATTATTATTTTAGAAAATGCATAAAATATTGCTGAAATGCTGTCGTTGTGCGTTATCAACTTTCAGGTGTTACGTTGGTACTTGGTACAAGCCTTGTGCCAGAAGCGACCTCAGCTAGACCTGGAAGATTTCCCAGATTTGAAAAAGGAAACGAGAGGCCAACGATTTGAAACATCATTAGAGCTACGCACCTGGGCGCGCGAGATAGTTCGTCGTTCAGGTCAGACTGGTTTAAAATGGCTTTTGATCAATGGATACACAGGCATAAGAATTGTGTCGCCACCGGTAGTAATTACGTTGAGAAAGTGGACCGGACATTAGACTTTGACGTTTAGGTGACGTCAGCGTGTGACAAAGTCTCATCGGCGTGCTTCAAGTGTGTGATAGGTGTAGTATTTTGATTTTGAATATACTAAGTAAACTTTATTGTTCAATATTATCTCAATGATTTATTTTGCTTTTTATCAGTCGAAAGTAAAGGTATCTCGTGGTGTTATTTATTTGTTGGGTTTTCTTTTAATGTTTAAGAAATACCGGTTATACAATTCTGCGAATTTATTAATCAGCCCTCGTTTATCTCACAGAAAACAATTAATAGTACATGTTCACCTTCTAGTTTTCTGGCTTTTCGAAATTAATGACAAAAATAGTTAAATTCAATTTTACTTAATAAGTGAAACACAATACTAGCCACTGAAACTTGAAACAAAGCAACTTTAAAATATTTAGAAGCTCAAATATCCACTTCAATTTCAAAATTGTCTCTTATTTCAAGTTATTTGTATATTCGAAACTAAACTATCGAAACTCTGTACTGCCTACGCGTTATGGACATATTGATAAACTGGCAATCGTTTGTACATTTTCTGTTCTCAGTTATTTACACAAAACTCTAAGTTTTCGGCATAAATCATTTAATTTAATTGATAATTATAGTTTAATATGAAGGCCTAACTTATAATTTAAAGCAATTATACTTGAAATATTTCACACGACAGAGCGTGGCTTGGTTTTTACTACAATTTAGTGAGATGGGCATGCCTCTAAAATTGTTTTCTTTCAGGTGCGTTTTGCCGTGTAAATATGTCTAGTGAATAGTGAAAATTTTAGACATTGCAGGTACACAAATAAATGATTTGTCTTTTTCAATGAGAAAAGTATTGACCGCACTCTATATGCCCAAATCGAAAGCCACGTATGCGATAAATTATGGACACCCCTATGTATCAATACTGATGAAAATAGAGAATGAAAGGTAAAAGCTAATTAATCTTTAAGTAGTGTGGCCGACAAAGCAGTCACATCATCCGTTATAGTTCAGTCACCTATAATCGTGCTCGCCCAATTGTCTTTGCTGCTGCTCCGTCAAATTGAATATCATTTCTTACCGTTGTTATTTTTGCAGGAATATTACAGTCACTACTAAAATTAAGCTGGCGTCACTAAACATCTTTACGTTATTTTAGTGCAATTTCACGTAAATCATTACGTTAAAAGGAAACAAAAGGTGACCTATTCCCAATTGAAGGTTTTGAGTGTTGCGTCGTAGGGTTACACATTGGGACGTTTTAACAAAGTAAAATAACTACATGTATTTTGACGCATTTGAATGCAGCAGTATATTCATGACAAAAATAAAATGTGAATTTTTTTAATAGAGGATATTGGATGAATGTAACTTCAATACTGAA